TCAGTCCTGTCATATTTTGCTTCCATTATTTCGAGAGCTGAATTCACGATTTCGGCCTCCTCTCTTTCCGGAAAGCTCTTGGGTTCAATAATAAGATGTTGGAGAGTTTATGGAGAATATTTGTTTCTCTTGGTCTTCTCAGGATTTTACTCCTCCCTATTTTTTGCTGCATCATAGCTCGCCGTATTCAGAACTGCTTCTTCGGGAATATTTTCCGATATCCGTGCAAATTTAGCTTGTCTTCTAAGTTTTCTGTTGATTGCTTCGCAGATATTATAGGTGATGATGGAGAAACCGTTCAAATGTCCATATTGTGACCATAGATCGAAGGAAAAGAGTGGGCTTGAAAAGCATATAAGGTCAGCTTTGACTCTTGTTCAATCAGTGAAATTGCTCATTTGGTTTTTTATGCGAATGTTGGGCTGTTTTCAGGTGTATTCATACGGGTGAGGCTCCGTACAAGTGCAAGTACTGTAATCAGTCCTTCAAAGTGCAGAGCAATCTAGTGCGACATATACGCGCTCACACAGGTATGTCAGAAGTGTTTCGGCTAACGGACTCGCGTGAAAATGCTTTAGGGTGTTGGAGCATTTCTTGCAAAGTGTACTTTTTCACGTGATGGGGTGCTGAGCTCCTATTTTCACTCATTTTTTTAAAATTGTGTGATTTTTCGGAGTATCTGTGATCAGCTGGTTTCATCATGCACCCCCTCCCTTCATTTTGTGAAGTTTGTGGTCCTCTAATTAATTTTTATTTAGGAGAGAAACCATATGCATGCAAAAAGTGTGGAATCAGTTATGCTGACAAGAAAAATGTGGATGCGCACGTATTTCGTGAACACCTGAAGATGCGAGAATTGGAGTGCACCGCTCCAGGGTGTACTGCCAGATTTTGGCGTCACGATCGCTTTGCATATCACTGCCTCAAGCATCATGGTACGGTGCCGCAATTTTTCCAATAGTTGTCGTATTTCTTTTAAAGCTTACACTAGCTTAAATTCTAGGTCTATTATTGCTGTATAATGCTTATAGGCAACGATCTCAATTGTTTTTAGGTACCTTTGGATGTTATATTTTCATAGTCAGAGATTTACTTATTGCACTCGTTTTTCAAAGATGAACTGTTCATTGTATCATATCCAAAGCTCCTTAATAGTCTCGACTACTTATTCAGGTTTAGCGCTTTCTCTTTTGGAATCGCTCATGTCTCGCATTTTGACGTTGATATGTACTCTTTTTGTTTATTTACTGACAGTAATAATTTCGAATGCAACTTACCATATGATAAACAAATTATTTTGAGATGTTTTCTGCGCAAACATGGTTTAACCAAGACCTGTCTCATTCTCTCTTCCACTCATTTGTAGACAGTCAATTTCAGCAGTACTTCAATTCCATGATTTCAGAACATTCTAGGTGTAGTGTAGAGTGTGTCGAAAAGGTAGAAGAGATTACTGACGTCGTGCTCGAATCCATGGATGTGGATACGTGCATACGAGAGAATATCATATGGCAAAAGCTGCCAGCGGATATCCGAGTTTTACTGGGCAACTCACACAACGAGAATATGACAAACTGGTTTTGGAGTATTCGATTAAGAATCAATTACGGTACAAAGGAAATCTAGGTATGTTGCTTTTTGGATTAGAATCTTTTTTGTGACTTTTTCCTAGTTCTCTTTTTTAGTGGAATGAGTTCTTAACGCTTCCAGCTCTTCTATATTTTGTTATAGTGCGACATGTGAAGAAAAGTGAGGAGACGTATTACGATATGATTATCAAGTACAGCGAATCACACTTGATGCTCTACCCCTATCCGATCTTGCTGACAATCATTGAAGGAACTGCGAATAACACCTTTCAATTACTACATTAACATTATTACTGTAAGTTACACTGTTGAATCAGTAGTCAGTATCAGAAATTCGTCTATTTCAAGGATATGATACAATCTGAGAAGTCGTATGATTCTTTGCCGAACAAACAACCTTTCCGCTGCGATGCTGTTGAGGTATAGGTTATCGTGAAATCAGCTATATTACTGATAAGCAGAACAGCTCGGCAATTTCAAGCAGATTCTATTATTTTTCCTGTTTTGGAGATTCAGAACACATAATCACGTTTTTATAGGTCGAACAGGAAAGTTTCTGCGTCGTAATCGTCCTTTGCGCGAACTGTTGCCACAAAAAACCTGCAAAGGTACGATTTTGTCGCAGTCTTGAAGACTGTCTTGGCCCAGCTTACAAGGCGTTGAATAGCTCAAGGCCAGGGCGGTTTGCTTCAGCAGGGTTTTGCATCCTTGGAAGCGCAGTCTCAAGGAAACAGCCACCTGATCGCACGGCAACCCATACAGTGACGAAAAGCTTTATTTCAATGTTTTCTCCAAACCCTAGCCCGAAGAATGTTTGATTGTCAGCATGGATTTTTTGGCTACGTTTTGCTTGTTTATCCCTTTATCACTTTCTTCCGTACATTAGTGATACTTCACATGGGGATCCAGCCATATTGAATAGGGCAGCTGAGGGTTTTGAATCCACTTTGCTCACCCTGATGGCAACATGACGCCTAAATCCTCCTCGACTGCCAGCCTCTACTTGCTTCTACCTCATTCCCGGATATTGAACCATTTTGCCTATGTTGTTATTTTGACTCTGCCCTTTTTGATGCACTTCGCTCACCAATAGCATTTGACCTACCTTCTTGTGCCATTCTCTTTCCACTTCCCATGTCACTGGAACCTATCGGGAGCGATTCCTGAGGATTCTAGAAAACGCCGCTCGTTAAAGGCCTTTTCTCCCTTTATGTACAGGGTCTCGCCTAGCTCATGTGTGCTCCGTACATCCTGTCCCATGCCTACCCATAACCAAATTTTCCTTGTCTTCTTCAGATTATTCATCAGGTGATATTTAAACAAAAGGTAGTTAGACATCGCTTTCTATAGAGTAAAGATCCTAAAAGTCTCAATTGCAGTCAGTTGTGGAGCCATGGTGGATCGTATGTGCTGGAAGTATTCTAGAAGCAGATATTAAGGTTGGATTTTCCCAATAATCTTCTTCGATGTTTTGTACTACCATTTCATGGTCGTTAAGCTGACGTTCTAGGTATTAACAGAGGATGAGCGTCGTGTTGTAGACACTATTTTGGACGAAGGGCCGCAGCAAGCAGGCTTCTTGCCCGTGCCTGTGGTCCAGTCGCTGCTCAACAGAGGACTGGTATATGTTGATGTTCCAGTCGAAGAATTTGACTACGTTTATGGTAAAACCTATGTTTCACTACCAACTTGAACATTCCTTAGGCCTATTTGATTTTCCCGTAAAGGCTGAGTTTTTGTTCCAAAATTATGAACATAGTTCTAAGCTGGAGTTTCCTTTTTGCTTCTTGCTTCGAACTGTAACCTTTGTGCCTTTGTAGTAGCAGACTTCGTTTTGACCGAAATGTGTATAAATCAAACGCGCAGGCACAAAGAGGCAAATGCAAAGTGACAGGTATCTCTGCTGCATAACGTGCCCTCTCGTTACGATCAGCCAAGCTTTTTTTCAGCTCTGTTTCGCTCCGACTTTATTTTCTCTCGTACTCCAACCTACTCACCTCGTAAATGACCCGTTTTTCTGGCACTTTTCTCCTCATGGCTTTCCCCTCATGAAGTGACGATACGAAAACATGTGTTTTAGTTGCACCTCTGGATGGCTTTGTTATGAATCGAGTTTTGGGAGACTATTTCGAAACGCTTTTGTACAAAATATTCGTAGCAATCGATGATCAGACAACCGTAAAAGAAGTAAGTTTTGAGAACTGTGTCATCATTTTGTCCGTTACTTGTTTTGTTTTTCATTTTTCTCTTTCATAGTTTTCTTTTATGGTTTCTTTGAATTGCAGTGATTGAAGCTTGAAAGTGAAAAGTTGAGAATGGGAGGCATGAGAACAACTGGCAAAAGATTATGTTTCTCATGAATTTTTTATTGTTTCCAATTTGTCCTACTACTACTCTTTTACCTTAATCTTCATTAGCATCTCTAATTAGCTTCGCGCAAGTGAAGTGCCATTCTGTGACATTCAAAAATCATCAGGGACTTATTTCAGATGGCTGATATGCTTCATATTGATTTCTCTCTTGTGGCTAATGCAATATCCGTTTTCTGTCGACTCGGATTTGCGAAGAAGAGAGTAACAGGAATGGAGACAGCTCGCCTCACTCAGTGGCACAAACTTTGTTTGATAAACTAGAGATTCCCCACACAGTAAGTTTTTCATTAAGGGAAACTTTCAGTCTCACGCATGGTAACTCTGGCCTTATTAATGGCCTAGCCTAGCCAAGCTCTGAGCTTGTCCAATGATTCTGAGGAAAAAAGTGCATATGAAAGGCACAGATTTGACCAGAACATTTATGTAAATAAGCAAGATTCTGTGAACTGACTAGCTTCTAATCACCGGGTCGTCTTTTCCAGTGTTCTGCTCTGATCTTTTTATAGAGATGACCTGGTGACGTCGGTTTCCGGTGATCTGGGAGAGCTATCAGCTTCACTGGCTTCACCTCTAGGAGATGATGATGACGAAGAGCAAGCGGCGAATCCTCAGCAACTACAGCTTGAAGGATTCGGTCAGTTAGTGTTATGTTAATCGTGATATCTCGTAGGGTTCTCTTGTTTCTGGCCAAATTCAAAGCAGATGGGAGGTACACATGACAGCTAGAATACCATGGTGGTCTTCATTTGGGAGAATGAATGGTTTTAAGGTCTCCTCACAGCCTTCTTCGGAAGTGCCATCATCCTCCGGTCGAACAGCGTTCCTATTTGATTCAACCTTAGCAGCGTTTCTGATGATGGGAAATCTATCGAGTTCATTGAAGGTGAGTTCTCCTAAATTGCAGTTTTGTGTTCTGGATAAAGCAGGTTGCGGCAGTAAACCTAGCGTCTGGGATAGTTGATCTGTGAACGAAAAGAGTTTTGGTGAATTTTCACTTGCCAAATAGGGTGTAAGTTTCTAGATCGACAGTTTGTGCTCTGTTTGGGCTTAAGGCGGAATTTAGGGTCATGCGGTGACTCTGTTCGAGGTGGGAAAGTTGGCTGATGAACAGATGCGTGACTTCCTGGAACATCTCGAATGTGTGAGCGGAGTTAAATTTGCTTGTCTTAATGATCCTTTTTTGTCGCTTCTGCTTTTTTAAGGATAGGTACCTGAAATGGGCAGTTCGCGTTATTATTGTATTCTGTTGGTAAGTTCCGGTATTGGAGTTTATCTATTGTTTATTCAGGTGAATCGTTTTGCTGAAGGAGAAGCACAGAGATATTCCGAGCATGCGATGGCTTTGCTAGATATTTTGCGGAATCTTCGAAAAGGAAGAGAAGTGGATATGTTGAGAGGAGAGAG